GTACACGACGTTTCCGAGGCTGGTAGTCATGATGAGCGCGAAGCGACCAATCACGGCCAGGAACAATGGCGATACATTCGCGAGACCCTCTTCCTGGAAAACATCGTAGCGCAACCTATCTCGAGGATGCGCCGATCGCCGGACTCCAAATGATGTGGCCCGAGGATTGTGAAAGTGGTGCTTCAGTCTAGACAAATGTCAGCAATGGTGCTAGTATGCGGGCCGCAAAAGCCTTCCTTCCGAGCTCCGGATCAAAGTAATATCTGCTAAGTAAACACACGAGAGCAGCTACTTAGTCGGACCACTTCCCGACAAGAGTTCGGCTAACCTCAATCAAGTAGCAAACATCCCATACATTACATATTAAGAGAGAAGCAGAGAGATAATGGTGGGATCCATGGATCTGACACAGATGAGTTCTTCATTGCCCCACCCAAAAAAGGATCGGTGGACGACCTTTCATCGGTCGGCACAACGTTTTGCCCAAAAAACATCCCACGGTTTATTGCTAAGAACAGAGAAACTTTCCTGCATGTACACCAAAGCACAAGGTCTCTAGAACAAATTTGCCGATTTGTTGATGCGTCAAGCGCCACATGCCTAGGACCTCATGTTCGTCACGGAAATGTGTTTGCACTCAAAAATAACCCACGCCGAAGTTGCGGTATAGGACATGGCTCTTTTCCCCGCTCTAGCAAGAGTGGAGCGTAATATTATACTACCTCAGTGAACTGCAATGCGAACCGGTGGTCAATCCGGAAATGCTGATCATAGCTTCACTTTGGCGCAGTCTGCGACTGAGACGCAACGACAATTGCCTTTTGACCGTTGTTTATTGTCCCCCAATGTCCACCCCAGAGATGGACTCTCGCCTGACATTATCCTTTGGAAGGGTCCTATGAGGACGATATAGTCATGTTCTCATCTGTGGTGACTTTCATATTCACGCTTTGGGAGTTCGGGCATCCCCCAACGAGCAATTTAAGGCCAACCTGCAAGTGTATCTTGCTAGCATTCCGGTCTCCAGCCATGTCAGCTCCCCCACTCGTTTCAGAGTCCGAAACAAACCATTTGTGTTTGATTTAATGCTCATGAACGAAGAGCTCATGATTGAGCATCCAAGAATGGAGAGCCCTCTGGGGCGGAGCGATCACGTAACCATAATTTACGACTTCATGTGTTATGCGGAGTACCCACAATAAGATACCAACTTGTTTCGAACAAGCACCCACTATGACATACTGGCAGAATTTGTGGAAGATGCCATCTGGGAGTTTTCGGACGACTGTTCCATTGACAGTGCTTTGTTGAATTTTACTGCTAAGTTCAGTGATCCGATTAAATCTGTATCGGTCGAAAAGCCCTTTCTTTCTGCAAGGACAAAATCATTCATTCGGAGTAGAACCCGAAAACACATGACAGTAACAGACGCCGCGGGGCATGTGTATAAAGCGTACCCTAGCCCTGACAACGAAAGTAACTATGCTGTGCATCGTGATCACTCTACCAAACTTGTGCGCAAAGACAAATTAGTACACCTGTAGAGTCCAGCGGGAATGTTTTGTGCTGTCAAAAATTTTCTATCCAGACATGTGAACAGCTTCCGGAATGTGAAACATGATGTTCCCCTACTAATATCAGCGAATGGATGTACTCAAATCACCGAGGATTAAGCCAACGTTCTGCAACTACAATATGCCCAAATTTTCCTACGTGCTCCTAGCATTTGTAACAAATCTGTCCCATTCTCCCAGATGTCAGTATTTACGCATGAAACGTTTAGTTCAGCGACCTTTTTGAGGAAGCTGCCATCGTTACGGTCCTATAGTTCCCCCGGAGTTGGCCATATTGTCCCGAAAGCACAGCAAGTGGCACCTACGAGGATAGGTAAAACACTAACAAGCTTTTTCCAAAAATGTCCAGACGAACAGCAGGTCCCTAACATGTGAATGCAAGGCATCTTTACCCTGATTTTCAAAAGTGGTAGTCGTTCAGCGCCAGCCAATTATCGCCTAGTGACTCTCTTCCCGTTGCTCTCTAAGGTGATGGAATCAATCATAGCTGAGGTTGTAATGAGCTACATCGAATAGTCTAACATCATAGCACCGCAGCAACACGGACTCCGTCAGCATCAGTCATGTACTATCAACCTACTGTTTGCCCATGGCAGTTGGACCTAGATAGCCGACAGTAGGACCGGCATTGGTGTCATCTGCCTAGACTTTTTCAAAGCATTCAACAGCATATTTCACCACATACTTCTCCAAAAGCTGCAAGCATACGGAGTTAGAAACCCTGTCCTTGGATGGATGGGAAATTTCATCTTTTAGCGGCACCTTCAGGTTTGGGTTCGAGGTTCATTTTCTGATCCAATTGGTGGGGACGGCGGTGTTCCACAAGAGTCAGTGTAGGGACCGCGGTTATTCTAATTCGTCATTAACGACCTTGCGAGTGTCATCAAGTCAAATTTCCTGCTCTTTGCCGATAACATCAACATATGGAGTGCAATCAACATTCAGGAATATCACGATATGTTACAATGAGAGTTAGACTGCGCTTTTGAATGGGCGAAGGTAAATGTAGTTTCGTATAACACGGATAAGTGCAAAACCGTGCATGTCCGCCACAAGCCCACGTAGGCATATACGTTTGCAGACTATATGCTGAACACCGCCTCACAATAACGAGACCTTGAGGTGGTAATCCAAGACGACCTCGGCTGTTCGGCGCACTCCTTGAAGATGTCCAAAACAGCGAACCAACATGTTGGTCTGTTACGGAGGGCGTTCGGAAGGTTCGATCCCTCCATCTTCCCCTAAATGCCCGATGCGTATGTGAGGCTCCATGTAGAGTACGCAATCAAGACTTGGCAACCCTAGTTAAGATGCGACCTTGTTGCACTGGCGACCGCAGAGCTCCGAGCAAAGAAAAATGTAAAGGAGTTGTCCCCCGTGCAATACCATAAGCGACGGAAAGCCCTGGGAGTGTACAGAGGAAGATAATGCCTTCTACGGTTTGACCTCATCCTGGCGTTTCAGATCTTGAAAACCCCCATCACGCTTGCCACCACCTGTTGAAGCTTAGCCGCAACACAGAAGTGATCGGCCGTAAATTGAAACTTACCACCCACTACAGTCGGAATTACCTTTTCCTTCCAGTTTGTCAACCGTGGCACGCCCCTTCGTCTTTTGCCATTTCCGCTCGCACGCTGACATTTTTAAAAAACGGCTTGTTGGTGCTTTACACCGCTTACATTACTTGATCTGATTTCCATTCATTGAGTGACCATATGGCACAGACAAACATTGTGCTCGCCAACCCCACGAAACCGAGGTAGACGAATATCCCTTTGTGTTAACGTGAATAATATGGTGAGTCCACAGATGCGTTTTTTTCACTTTTCAATATTTTTATACTAACCTTATTTCCATAAACTATCCCACGAGACCTGTCAGGTGTTGGCTTTTTTATCCGTAATGTACCATTGTTCATACTTTTCCGTTTCATCGAGGGTCAGTTGAGTGAGACCATCTGCTGCCTGATTTTCACGCCCTGGGCGAAATTTAATTTCGTAATCCTGTGTTAGTAGCCGTGCTACCAGCGATGTATTCGCAACGCTCTGAGGTCGTTTGTTCCCCATGTAAGTAATGTAGTTAAAGCTGCGTGAACTGTACGAAGAATGAATGGCGTTCCCAGCAAGAATAGGTTCCACTTCTCACAGGCCCAAACTAAAGCGAGAACTTTCTTCTTCCCCGGTAAAGTAGGAGAACTCTGCTGCAGATAATTATATAGAGGCGTAGACCATAACTCTTTCATGCCCCTTCGGAATTTGAGATCTTACAACAACCAACTTGTTTCGAGTGGCGGTGGAGACCATCCAGGAGCATGTTTCACTGAAAATCGCTATAACTAGTGTTTAAGCAATGCGGCGGTTTATCCCGTGATAGGTAGGTTGTCAGAGCAGACCCCAAACAAATATATCTCCTTCGTTGTCATTTCCCACAGCGGCTCTACGAGATTCGTGAAGTCTTGTAGGCAACGTAGGTTGCACGAACACATACCAGGAAAATGCTTTACCTCCGTAGAGTTCTGTGGATGAGGAGCCTCGGTGATGGATCGCTTGTTCCATCACTCGGCTCGAGGCCATCAATTGTAATAATGTGGCCCAGGAACTCGACGTCTATAGCATTACATTCACGCTTCTCGAGATTTCAGTGAAACTTAAGCTCGTTTAGTAGGCGTAAAACTACGTGCAGTCGTAAGACTTTCTATTCTGGTTTCTTATCATCCATGCAGGCTATTCTGCCAAACAGCTGGAGCTGAACTCAAGCCCATGGGCGGACTGTTGAACTGAAGGAGCGCATCCATTGTTAGAAATGCTGGCAGTGATCGTGATTGCTGAAGTAGGGTCATGTGAAAAAGTCTTCCTCAGGTCCAATTTAAAAAAAGGACATCTGACATCTGACATCAGGTTGAGCGACATAATATGCATACGAGATAGGTGCAGCGTAACTCCCAGCGCAACAATAACATTCCGCCCATGTAAGGACAGTTATTCCCACTGGTGATGTAAACAGCAGCTGATGCTTTAATGCCCATAACTTGCCGTATAATCACGACGAATCCTCGTATTTCTACATGGGACTTTGTATAACTGCCAAACCGTTAGGCTGAGGAGTTTCATATAGATGACTGTCATGCAAAACTATTTGGAACTATGGCAATCGGAGACGCGGAGTCAAGTTCCATGTCAACATGTGTTGTTCTTCCGTGTACACTAACTGCTGCAGTACAAATGTCAAGGATTGGATGTTTAGACTCTGCGCAAGAAGGACAATAATAAAAACTGCTACTGTTATTATCGACAGCAAGTACATTTTCGGTATTCTGTACGTCCAAGTCCGCATAGGGATCGATAGCAAGTAATTGATACCTGCCTCCTCGACTTCAACACCGGCCATAATGCTCCCGCTTACCACACTTTTGCAATTTTATTCTAGGGCAGGGCACTTGGCGAATTCGGCCTTATGCTGTAGGCCGCCGCAGCGAAAGCACTTTTGTGGAGTTAAGTGTTTGGCTGACAAATGATGGATCTTGCCAATTTCACATGTGCTTCTTTGCGCAACATAACTTCGCGATTGCTCTGCGGCATCCGTTTTGAAGCGAGCTATTCCCATTACCATTTCTCAAGTCACTTTTACGGCGTCTTCGGTGAGTAAAAATTCTCGAATCCGACTTTTTATTGTTCTTCAAATCAGCTCTTGAAGCAGCAGGACTCCTAGGAATGTAAGCCGCGAATAAGGTGATTAATGTAACTTTCCATAGATTCCGATGGTCCATACGTAAGTCGCTCAAATTTGAATTGGGCTGTGTATACCTTTCTAGGCTGACCCTGTGACTTATTTAACACCTACATTCCTTCCGTCAATGTATTTTGAGACTGGAGCACTAAGATATCAAACTGACCCTGCTCCTCGTAACGGAGCAGATACCTAAATTTCACTTTTTGACATTCTGTGTAGTTAAAAGCCGCAGATTATCTTACACCGAGTCCACGCACTTTCAGTAGGATGCACCACGGAATCACACCTTTAAGCTGTAGGAGGATGTAACTGTAATTCCGTTGTGCAGGTTTGTGGACTGTTACGCCGGTGTTGTGTACCGGTGCTTTAAGAGGAACGGCGACTTTATTCAGCATGAACATCAACAACAGCGCATAGATATTTTATATTACTGATAGAATCCGAGTAGCTCGCAAACACTTCAGTACCCCCCGATGTGAGCATTCCGCAAAGGCCTAATGCACGAGTCAATTAATGTCACATTGAACGCACGTGAGCTCATCGGTGTACGCCTTCGGCGGAGCAACCATGTAGCATACTTTAAAAAGTCAAGCTGGCGCAACAGGAATTACACGGCGCTGAATTTTACAGTGCCGTTTTGTTGTTGTTTAGTCGTGATTGCTGCACACGGGTTCTGCCTCCTCTACATTGTGATGCTGCTGGTGAAACACGAGGTGGGTCTGAAAAGTAACGAGACTGGTAATATGAAAATTCACTGCAAATTTTGATGACCAACTGTATAACTTCACCTTCAGCACAATCCCTTCGGGTTTAATGCGGGTTTCCGTCATTCTTTACCACGCTCCGACGCACTGCTGGAAGCATTCTTCCACGATGCTCCTTAATACCAGCGTCGCTTAGAGCAATATCACTTGAGTATGAGGGCTGTTCTATTATAGTAATTGTTTCTCGGTCAGGAATCTCCGGGTGCCCGGAGCTGTCATAGTTATCGTCTGTTAAAGCGCACTCAGCGAAGCAAACGTTTCAATAATAATGCAACAATAATTGGCATAAGTGCGACATAGTCAATAGTCAGGTTTGAAGTGCATGTGACCCAGGTGCAGTAAACGAAAGTTCATAATCTAATACGAAAAAGGAAATAACGCAGTGCCAAACATATCTGGCGATAATTAACATGTGCCCAACATTTACAGATCACACAGTGAGGCTAGGGAGGGAATATTAACAATCACTTCACAGTGGGAAATAAAGGGCCAGGTATCAGGGGGAGGAGTCTGCTGCTACAAAATGAACAAATTGGTGGTTTAACCGACCGATCCATCTGTGCCTTTCACGGATGGGTGACACACCGGTGTTAATTGCAATTTGGGAACGCACGATGTCATGGCAAGGGGCTGGTTGAACACCTTGAGGACATGACGAGCTGCTGCTGGTGATCTGGTTGGCGTGTGTGTAGCTCTGAGTTCTGCAGCGATGCCTGCTTTAATGGACTGGAACCCGGTCAATAGTAGGCTATGTGCCGCCCGTCTAGCTAGCTCCATTGGATGTGGTGTGAGACGCAAAACAAGACGTAGTCTGTTTGTTGTTTCTGCCTATGCCCCAACGGATGTCAGTGACGCGACTGATAAACATAGGCTCTACGGGGGCTTAACGGCGTTGCTGCGCACAGTCAACGGCTCTGATATAGTTACTTTAGCGTGGGACATGAATGCCCAGGTAGTTTACTTGGATGAATCGGAATTGCGGTTAGGTGGGCGGTGCGTTCTGGACTCGCGGCGCACCGGCAATGGTGAACGCTCGCTGCACCTATGCGCCGAACTAAACCTTTTTCCAGTCAGCACCAGCTTTCAACATAGCTCTCGTCATCGGCTTACTTTGCGCCCACCCTCTGTCGATCTTTTTCTCAGTTAGACCATATTGCAGTGAGCTACAGATGACGTGTCTGCATACAAGATTGTAAATCCGTTTGGAACAATTCTCTCCTTGAGGTTCCTGATGCCGTGTCAGTGTCTAGACTAGATACGAGCATTTAATAGTACGCTCTCTTATCAAACCTACTGACGTGACAACTTCATTGCCACAGTGCGTACTGTCCTGGTTTATACAGCACACGATGTAGCTGACGGTGCTGCTAGGCCCTTTTGAAGGGATGCAAGTGCACTGTTCATCGCACTGACGCCGCCACAATTCGCATGATGCGTGAGTCACGGACGTACAGGCGCTTCGGCAATGCAGTTGTCACGTCAGTAGGTTTGATCATAGAGCGTACTTTTAAATGCACACCGGTGTGCTCCGCATCGGCACACAAACATCACAACGGGGTGACGTGAGTCACACACATGTGCGGTCAAGCGGTGAAGGCAACTACCGCTACGTGGTGTGTACGCGGTGTGATAGTAACTACGGCTGTCAAAACCTGCGACTTGGCCGGAAAGGGAGGGAACTGTAAGTCGGCCTGGTTTTGTGTCTGTTTGTGTCTATGTGAGACCGTTATCCCGGAGGTCATACACACCGACGTATTGGCCTCACAACGCCGGAACATGTGACCGTGTGACCGATCCACGCGAGGCAGTTTGCGCCGTTAGTGTGTGCCGTATTTGCTCAATGGAGTTCAGACTTGCAAACAAGATTGTACTGGTTTGGCTTATTGTGGCGAAACGGAGTCTACGGAAATCATGTGAAGCATCCAAACAGTAGTAGCTGGGAAAACGAAGGCATGCTGCAAACGACATGCTGGGCCATCCAACACGGCTTATTCATTCCGGCCCCGTTGTGAATCGATCACCAGGACCCACGAAATCATGGAAGCACCGGTAGAACTATCGGGGTCGTAGTGTCTCTGATTACAAGGCATTAGCTGAACATCCGTTGAGTAATTGGTCACACGTCTGCCAGACGTGCACTCCAAAAATTGTCGGTTGGTTAGTACAAATGCAGTCGTACAACCTGACGGAAGAGAAACCATGCCCTAAGCAGACCTTCTGTTTGTGAGTGGTTACACACATAATCTGTGTCGAAAGACGCTGCGCCGGAGTGGGTTCTTGCGCATAAAGTATCACGTTTACTGAACATGAGACACTTCACGTACGCACTTTGGCAATGAAGTTGTCACGTCAGTAGGTTCGATAAGAGAGCGTACTTTTAAATGCTCGTATCTAGTCTAGACACTGACACGGCATCAGGAACCTCAAGGAGAGAAGTGTTCCAAACGGATTTACAATCTTGTATGCAGACACGTCATCTGTAGCTCACTGCAATATGGTCTAACTGAGAAAAAGATCGACAGAGGGTGGGCGCCAAGTAAGCCGATGACGAGAGCTATGTTGAAAGCTGGTGCTGACTGGAAAAAGGCTTTGTTCGGCGCATAGGTGCAGCAAGCGTTCACCATTGCCGGTGCGCCGCGAGTCCAGAACGCACCGCCCACCTAACCGCAATTCCGATTCATCCAAGTAAACTACCTGGGCATTCATGTCCCACGCTAAAGTAACTATATCAGAGCTGTTGACTGTGCGCAGCAACGCCGTTAAGCCCCCGTAGAGCCTATGTTTATCAGTCGCGTCACTGACATCCGTTGGGGCATAGGCAGAAACAACAAACAGACTACGTCTTGTTTTGCGTCTCACACCACATCCAATGGAGCTAGCTAGACGGGCGGCACATAGCCTACTATTGACCGGGTTCCAGTCCATTAAAGCAGGCATCGCTGCAGAACTCAGAGCTACACACACGCCAACCAGATCACCAGCAGCAGCTACAGTATCCCTTGATGTATAAAGAAACTAGTGAGTGGCAAGGAAAGGTGCAGTCAATTCAGTGTGAACGGTACTATCCTGTAATCTTGTTCATTGCAGATGTTACTGTCGCATTGCACTGATAACATACTTGCTAACAAAGGAACAGCGGTGTTATCGCATCCGGCATGGCGAAGCGCACAATGTTCAGCTCAGGAAATGACCGATTTCTGTTTGTCCCTTCACAATTTGTTCACATGCAAAATGTCCAAGCCTATTTTGCTTCGGTCATGGGAAACCTGCAAACGGTTACGCAGAAATGACTGGTGACAACAGATCACACCTTTTCCCTAATGAACTTGCCCGCGAAAAGTAAGCGTGCCAAATTTCCGTAACCATGCTGCTGTTATAAATAGACATGAGTCATCTCGCGCGGAAGATTCAACAAAATGGTCAAAGAGAAAACGTAAATCACGTGTTAACTACCACCAACTTCAGCAGCAGACAGGTTAAAATCATTGGTGTGAAACAAGAAGGTTCATTTCTTCGTCCATAAATCGCCCCGAGACCTGTATTGCCGTTCCCTTGAAAATACCATGTAATGTCGGCGCCATTGGCCTTACGCCGAAAATCCCACTCTGTTACTAATGAACGGCTAACATTGGCAGTCGTCCTAGTATGCATACTTCATGCTCGGCCGTTGCCGCCAAGGGTCAGAGCAATTCTACATTAGTAGGCGACAGTGGAATAAAAACAAAGAAAAGCCAGGTGGATTAATCAGAACTTGGTGGCCCTGAGAAGAGCCGTGGTGGTGTTCTCCAAAAATCTGTTACATTAGGTGCTCGAACACATGCCCATTTTCTTTCAGACACATGTGTACCCTCCGTTTGATGTTTTCCAGGACAGACAGCAGCACGACTGTCGGGATTGTGCGACATGCTTCCATTATGTTGCTCTTCAGCATGTCCAAGGTCGCCGGTTTTGGCTCGTACACCCTACGTTTGAGATGACCCCAAAGGAAGAAATCCATAGGCGTTAAATCCGGCGATCGCGGCGGCCAACGAACTGGTCCGTGTCTACCGATCCACTTGAATGGGAAAGTCTCGTCAAGCCACCGCGTCACTGTAGCTGCTGAGTGCGGTGGCGCACCGTCTTGCTGGAAGAACGTTTGACACAG